TATATATATATATATGCTATTACTTATCAGAAGTCTCCGCTTCCACAAACTGTCGCTCACCCCTCGGGTTTTGGCGGTGGTTATAAATCCAATCTTGTCCATTCCCAGCCTCCCACTGGTATATCAATTCCTCTCCATCAGATTTTACAAAATCGCTTTGTTTTTGCCTTTCCCCAACGGCCACAGAGAAACAGTGGCTGTGGCCAGTCCAAAAAAGGAAAACAGGAGTTTATAAAGTTGCCCACGGATCTCCCCCATCTGGTAGACTGAGGAAGATTGACTGCAGCGAAGTTCAAAGGTCATACATGGCAGATCTAAAAACGGAGTGGCCGTGGTGGTCTCGACAGCGCGCTTTCTGTACCCGAAGTAAACCGATACGTCCCGATGAATATCTTCAGGGCAGAAAGGGAGTGGGGCACTGCAGGATGCTAGGAAGGGAGCCAAGCCTGGGAGCTTCCTTCACTGGCTTCCAAAGCCCCAGGAAACCTTTCCAGGCACAGAGATGCTCACTGCCAAACCACAGGGGACAGTGCAAAGCGGGGGGTTGATATCGGAGGCTGACCTCACCGGTTTAATACAAGGAATAGCAGCAGCCACTTGTGAAAACTTTTCAACAAGTTGAATAAACCCAGTGGGAGGGTCTCGACTGTTTTACCAGAAAAACTCAGACTTTGGCAGGGGGTGCGGGGGGTGAGGGGGTGTGGGTTGCTTTTGTCCTTCCAGAAAAATACAAAACACATCCACAGAACCATAAATAATTTGGTGGCAATATATACACATTTAAATAATTAATTTAAATATCTTACATCTACTCTTGCATTCAACTGTCCATTCGAAGAAAGTGCACCAAGGGGACCCTCGGTACTCCCCTCCCGGGGGGCGCTAAGGGTCACAGCCTGGGGAGGAAGTGGGTGACCTTCATGGTGGGGGACACCCGGTTCCCCTTCTTGGTCTTCCCGTTCTTACTCAGGGCGATGAACATGCCAGGGTACCGGTAGCACTCGTAGGCGTTGTAGTTGTTGGGGAGGAGGATCTCTTTGAACTTGCACTCGTCGGTGAAAAAAGGCTGGGTGGGGGGGAGGAGGAGCCGTGTCAGGGGGCCATCGCGGGCCAAGGGACCCCGGGGGGCAGTGGTCAGGGACTCCTCTCTCTCCCAGCCCCTCCTTGGCTGGGAGGTCCCTCCTGGGAAGTCAGGGTATCCAGACTTTCACAGGGTGAGGAGAGGGACCCCGCCAGTCCCCAGCAACTGCTACTTCAGGCACCTGCCCGGCACCTGGGAGCCAGAACAGTGCATCCTCACTGTGTCCGCCTAGAGACTGCCGTCCTGCCCACTGGGACCCGCCCCGGGGGCTCCAGGCAACAGCTCCCGATGGCACCCTTGACCCACTGGCAAGGGACCGCTCAAGGATGGCGGGAGCGCTGGCCCTGTCTTGGGCCTGGGCCTCTGCTTTGGGCTGGCTGGGCACCCCAGATGGCTCAGTAGTAAAGAATCCCCCTGCCAATGCAGGGATGCAGGTTGGATCCCCAGGTTCAGGAAGATCCCCTGGAGAAGTAAACTGAACCCACCCACTCCAGGATTCTGGCCTGGGAAATCCCATGGACAGTGGAGCCTGGCAGGCAACAGTCTGTGGGATCGCCAAAGAAATCCAACAGGACTGAGCGACTGAACAACAAGGGCGACCGGCCCTGCCTCAGGATGGGGGTTACTTTCAATCCCGCGACCCCCACCGCAGCTCCACGATCCTGGTGTCGGGCGGCCTGGAAGCGTCACGATGCTGCCCGGCTCGGCGGGGCCCACGGTACTCACCGAGCCGTAGAGCCTGCCCCGGCTGCTCATGGCCACGAAGAACCGGCTGGCCACCCCGAAAATGCTCACCACCCCGCGCTCCACCGGCGACAGCTCCAGCAGGCCTGGGGGCGGGGCGCGGGTCATTCCCGGGAGCCGGACCCTCGGCCCAAGCTTCCCACCTGGTCCCCTCCTCCGCCTGCGCCCCTCCAGGACCCCCACTTGTGGGGGTGGAGATGAGTGTAAATAGCCCTGCTCCCTCCGCGGTGCAGGCTGCCCCGCAAGGGCTCCGGGAGCCCCGCGGGCTCGGCCCCTGTCCCGGCCCCGCGCCGGCCGCTCCCAGTCCGGGACTGCAGAAGCCGGGTGGCCCCATGCGGCCCGAGTCCAGCCCCGACGTGGGCGCGCGAGCCGGCCCCCCGCGGGTTGCCGGTGGCTGGCGCGCTCCCGATGCCCACGGGCGAAGGCGCTGGAATCCGGCACCCAGATCTCGGACTTCTGAAGGCGGGAGGCGGGCTCGGCCGCCGGGTTGCACAAAGCCAAGAGTGCTGGCGTACCCGGCGTCTCTACGCCGGAGGGGACCGGACCCCGTGTCCACTCTGGTTCCCAGAGCCCCAGAGCAGGTGCCGGCGAAACCTTCCTGTGAGAGCTGGAAGGGGCGGCCGCTGCCCCGGGCCCCGATCCTCCCCGTCCGGCCCGCCCCACTCACTGTCACTCGTGTCCGCGTGCACGCCGCCGATGCGGCCGTCGGGGAGCAGCTGGAGGTGGAAGCCGATGCCCACGTTGCAGTACAGCCTCCGCNTACTCCCGCAGGGGGCCGTTCGCGTTCGCCTGGGCGCCCGGGGCGCTGTGGCGCTCGCGGCGGCTGGTCTCAGGCCGCCTGCCAATCAGGACTGGGGGAGGGAAGGCGGTCGGGGCCTAGCACCGCCGCGGCCACCTGGAGGGTCCCCGGCCCCAGCCCCTGCCCACGGACCTGGGGGTCCCGACCCTGGCGTCTCCTCCGCTCTTGTCTTTCCGCCCAAGTTTGGCCTCTTGCACTTTGCTCCTGCCTGTCGGGTCTCCGTGGGTGCCCCTCTCGGCCGCAGCCCTCAGCCAGCGCCCTCAGCTCCGAGAAGTCACTCCTGGCGCTTTGCCTTTCAGGGTTTCCCAGAACCTGTGCTCTGCTGGGACCCTGGGGACCCCCTTGGGAATGAGGGGCGGGTAAGGGCAGTATACACCGGGAGGAAGAATCCAGCGCTGTGGGCTGGAGGGAGGCAAGGGCCAGGGGTTGGCCACCTGAGCGCTGGTGGTCAGGGATGGAGCTGTGGACACCAGGAGGAGGCATGCCTTGAGCAGGGGGCCTGGATGAGTGTTGCTGAGAGAAGACGGGGTGCGCTGGTGCACCCCTAAGGCCACTGGCCCTGCACCCCCATACACACCCACTGCCACACAAGGACAGGGGGCAGGGCCAGAGAGGACATTGCCGCGCCCCCCCCTTCCCTTTAATTCTGCAGTGGGAATATTGAGGAACCAGAGACAGAACCCCCAACCCCACCCAGGCCTGGCTTTGGACAGGCTCCCTTCCCCCACCTGCTGTCCCCACCCCCCACCCCCACTGTGCCCATTATGGCCTGATGGGGCGGGGTCCAGCAAGATGCTGGCTCACCCAGGTGTGAAAACCCCTGTTCTCAGTAGTACCTGAAGAGGCTGCGGCCACCTCCCAGCAGCCCCGCCCAGCTGCCGCCGCAGGGGGCCTGGAGTCACCTACCCCCAGCTGCCACCAGCGCCTGTGACCAGGTGCGTCATTCCGAGGCCATTGCAGCCTCCCCGCCTCCACCCCATTCCTGCCCGAGGAGCCCGGACCAACCTCCGTGGCCTGCTGGGGCTCATTCGCACCACAGAGGGGACCTCGGGGGCTTGAGGTCTCCGGCTTGAGCCCAGAGACAGGGCTCCCAGGGCTCAGTGAGCGGCCCTGGCAGGACGGACCCCCAGTCTCCAGTTTCCTCAGGGAGGTTCCTTGCTCTCCTCTGGGCCTGTGGCCTGACCACCCAGTGGCCGCCTGGACCGGGTCTTCCTGGGAGGCCAAGTGACGGCTCTAAGGCTGATGTGCAGCTGCGTGGACCCCGGGCCCCCCTCCCGACAGGACACAGGAGACCAAGATCTGCCCCAGCTCTGAGCCTAGGTGACCTGGCTAGGTGACCTGGGCAAGTCCTGCCACCCTTGGGCACCAGAACCCTTACTTACAGAAGATCTTGGAACGTGGGCTCATCTCTGGGTCCCCGTGGGTACCTGCTCTGGGGAGGTGGGACCCAGGTCCTCCGAGCCCCCCACCCCCCAGCTCCTGGGAGGGTGTGCCCCTCTTCCCACAACCCCCATGCGGAGCTCCCTCCCCAGCTCTGCTCTTTGCTGGCGAGTTCAGCTCAGATTGAACCCGGGTTTGATTCCTGGGTCGGGAAGATCCCCAGGAGGAGGAAATGGGAACTTACTCCAATGTATGTTCTCGCCTGGAGAATCCCATGGACAGAGGAGCCTGGTGGGCCACAGTCCTTGGGGCAGCAAAGCGTCGGACATGAGTGAGCGACAAGTTAAAAGAGGAGGATATAACACGGTGGTCTTTCTGCTTGGCCACGCCCTGCCCACCCCCCTGGCCCCTCGTCTCCTAGAGACTCCCCTCCAACCGTGGTCCTCAGGATCTTCCTCCATCTCTCCAGCCTCTGGACTGCTCCCTGCTCAGGGCTGCCCTCAGACACCAGCCACTCCGAGATCTGCCATAACGCCCCCCTCGAGGGCAGCCTCCCCTGCCCGCCCATCTAGATGTGGTTTCTTCTCGGCCCTTCAGGGGCCTTCCTTTCCTTGCTGGCCCCTCCTCTCCACTAGAAATAGGCCCTGATGCACCTGAAGAGGCTGGTCTACCGAGTCCTGTGGTCCCCACTTAGGGGTCCCATGGAGGGTCTGTCTGTCTTGGTCATGTGATGTTAGCCCTTCACTTCCGATCCTGCTCAGTTTCCCCATCTGTATAATGGGTATAGTGGGCAGGAGGAGAAGGGGACGACAGAGGATGAGATGGTTGGATGGCATCACCGACTCAAGGGACATGAGTGTGAGTAAGCTCCTGGAGTCAGTGAAGGGCAGGGAAGCCTAGCGTGCTGCAGTCCATGGGGTTGCAACAAGTTGTATATGACTGAGCGACTGAACGACAACAACGTAATTGGCATAACAGTAACTCATTTCAGGGGTTGGCAACCTCTACAAGAGAGGCTGGGCTGTAGGGAAAGGATGAAAGCAGTCAGTCCTTCAAACCGCCAGCTCTTAGGGCCCAGCTCACCGTCCACGTTCAGAATGTGTGAAATAATCACTCACATTTTTATCCCACGGGAGGCCCCACCTCGCGTCACCGACTTCGCCTGGAGGGAGAAAGTGTCAGACGGAACGCCACCTCGCGTCACCGACTTCGCCTGGAGGGAGAAAGTGTCAGACGGAACGAAAACTCAGAACCGAAACCGGCCAGTCCCCGCCTACAATCCTCTGGTGACCTTTTCTAACCTACAGAAAAATTGCAATGTCATGTCTTCTTGGCTTCTTCTCCTTTGTAAGAGTGACAGGGCTTCTCAGAATCCCCAGCCCCAGCTGTTAAGGACTTACTTGGCTTCATAGTAATAATAATAATAAAAAAGTGCTGCATAAAGATTCGATTCCAGTCCTTAGGGTGGAGTGTCAGGGCCCAGCTTGGGGCAGGCTTCCCAGGCTGCAGACTTTGCAGACTTGCTCAGCCGTTTGCTTGTTCAACTTCCTTTTCTTGATCTTGGTGAGAAGACCCTCACAATGGCCTCAAGGGGAAGGTTAAGGCTGTCTGCACAGGCTGCAATTGCTGGGAGAAATATCAACAACCTCAGATATGCAGATGATACCACTCTAAAGGTAGAAAGTGAAGAGGAACTAAAAGGCCTGTTGATGAGGGAAAGAAGAGGAGAGTGAAAAAGCTGGCTTGAAACTCAACACTCAAAAAGCAAACATCGTGGCATCTGGTCCCATCACTTCATGGCAAATAGAAGGGCAAAAAGTGCAAACAGTGACAGTTTTCATTTTCTTGGGCTCAAAGACCACTGCAGATGGTGACTGCAGCCATGTAATTAAAAGACACTTGCTCTTTGGAAGGAAAGCTATGACAAACCTAGATAGTATATTAAAAAGCAGAGACATGATTTTGCCAACAAAGGTCCATCTAGTCAAAGCCATGGTTTTTCCAGTAGTCATGTACCAATGTGGGGGTTGGACCATAAAGAAGACCAAGTGCCAAAAAATAAAAGCTTCTGAACTGTGGTGCTGGAGAAGACTCTTGAGAGTCCCTCGGACTGCAAGGAGATCAAACCAGTCCATCCTAAAGGAAATCAATCCTGAATATTCATTGGAAGGACTGATGCTGAAGCTGAAGCTCCAATAATTTGGCCACCTGATGCGAAGAACCGATTCATTGGAAAAGACTCTGATGCTGGGAAAGATTGAGGGCCAGAGGAGAAGGGGGCGACAGAGGATGAGGTGGTTGGATGGCATCACCAAGTCAACGGGAGTGAATTCGAGCGAACTCCAAGAGGTGGTGGAGGACAGGGAAGCCTGGCATGCTGCAGTGCATGACCCAGCAGCTGAGGAACAGCACTGGCTGCAGTCACCCAGTAAGCGTGGTTTCTTTAGGAACATCTAAAGAAAGGGGAAATTAGGCCGGCTTTTTGAAAGCCCTTTGGAAATTGTGGCTAAATACACATAACATAAAATTTACCATATACCAGGACTTCCCTGGTGGTCCACTGGTTAAGAATTCACCTTCAAATGCAGAGGACTCGGGTTCAGTTCCTGATCGGGACATTAAGATCCCACATGCTGTGTAGCAGGGCGACTAAGCCTGTGAGCCACAACTCAGACCCAATGCAGCCAAAAAGAGGTAAGTCTACAAATATTTTTTCCAGAAAAGGAAAAATTTTTCTACTATCTCATGTCTAAGTGCACAGTCAGCGGCGTCAAGAATGTCCACATCGTGTGCCTTCACCAGCCATCATTCTTCTCCGGAACTTTTTCTTCTTCCCAAACTGAAACTGTGCTCAGTAAACGCTAAGTCACCATTCTCCCATCTCCGTGGGTGTGACTCCTCTAGGGACCTCCTATATGTAGAATCACACAATATTTGTCCTCTTGTGTCTGGTTTATTTCTCTGAGAGTAGGGGGAGAAGGAGGTGACAGAGGATGAGATGGTTGCATGGTATCATCAACTCAATGGACATGAGTCTGAACAAACTCTGGGAGATGGTGGAGGACAGGGAAGCCTGGCATACTGCAGACCCTGGGTTCGCAAAGAGTCAGACACGATTGAGTGACTGAACAACAACAGTTAAAGTCCTTGAGGTTCATCCACAATGTAGCCTGGGTCAGGAATTCCTTCCTTTTTAAGGTTGAACCGTATTCCGCTGCATAGCTGTAGCACATTTAGTGTATCCATTCTGTTGGTGGACATGTGGGTTGTTTCAACCTTCTGGTTCTGTCCACCATGCTACTCTGAACACATGAACACAAGTATCTGTTTAAGACCTTGCTTTCACTTCTTTTGGGTGTCCGTCCAGAAGTGCAATGCAGGATCACACGGTCATTTCTAAGTCTAATTGTTCCGAGAGCCTCCATGCTGTTTGCCGCAGCTTTTGTTTTGCTTCTGTTGTTTCTGTTTGTTTCTAGCCACGCCCCACGGCTCGGGGGATCTTAGTTCCCCCACCAGGGATCGAACTGGGGCAGGGAAAGGGTGACTATTAACCTCTGCACTGTCAGGGAACTCCCTGCGTGTTTGCACGATTTTAAAATGGTATTTTATCGAAGAGTAGGTTATTTCATTTCAGTCAGTTCAGTCGCTCAGTTATGTCTGACTCTTTGCAACCCCATGGACTGCAGCGGTTAATTTACATTGTGTTAATTTCTGATGTATCGCAAAGTGGTTCAATTATACCCATATATATATATATATACTCGTGGCTTTTTTTTTTTTTTTTTT